ACTCAGCGAGCTGCACTCGGGGCGGGCGGCCCGCCGCCGCCGAGGCCCATAGAGGGGCGAGCCGGGGGTGACAGCGGCACTGGAAGCCAAGGGGAAAGCGATCCTGTTCTGCCTTCCCTGGGCGACGCAGGTGAGATGCCGGGACGGGCACGGCAGGGGCTGGGAGGTGCCGTGGGCCTCCGCCAGGCCTGGATCCCCTCGGCAAAACGTGTCCTTCTCCTCGCAGGTTCTTCCCAGAGAGAAGCAGTTTCCCCGTCGCGCCGCTGCCATGGCCTCGGTACCCTCCGCCGGCTGCCTCCTGGCCAAAAATCAGTACTACAGAAGTAAGTGTTCTGGGGGGCTCCCCTGGAGGAGAGGGGCTGAGGTCCCCCGAGGGGATATCCGAATTGTGACCACTCGAGACAAAGTGTTTTGTATGCTTTCTGGATGAGCTGAAGGCAAAAGGGGGTTTTTGCCTGATAGTTTTTAATTGCTTGGAAAGTTTTTCATTATGTTAAGGAGCTTCAGTTTTAATGAGCATCTTATTCATTTCCTTTTTTTGGCTATTCAGAATTGTTCATTAGGGGTATAATTTTATTTTTTTTTAAATTATAAAAGATTATGTAGAAAAAGCATTAGCCCAGCAAATCCTGGCTTCTAGCTGTACTTCATATTTACTTTGCAGGCTTAGACAGAATGCAGAATCAACTCACACTTTTGTGTCTAAATATAGGAAATAGTCACTGGTTTAAGAGTTTGGTGTGCTAGGAACCCTCTGTATACTGTAGTACAAGTATAGTATTTAGTTGTACCACAGTGGAAGGTATAGCAGTAAGTTTGTTTTGGACTTGAATATTAAAGAGTAGACTCTTTGTTTTGATAGTAATGTGTAGGTGATCGTAAGGTTTGTCACTGATTTCAGTGAAAGTTATGCAGACAGATCTCAGTTGTTTTTAGGTGAAAAGTAGGCTGAGAGATCAATTTACACTAAAACTTTTTATATAAAAAACTGTATGCATATCATATAGAAGTTATACTTTGTAGCAAAGTAAAATTATGTTTTGGATTGCTTCCTCCAAGATAGCAACGGGTCTAAAAGTTCTTGGCATAGAAATAGTGTACTCTCTCGAAGAATTTTTTTTTTTTTTCACTATGTGTGTCTTTGTTTTCCATGAACAGCAAGACAGAACTCGGAATCCAGTGTTTCTTCCAGCTCCTCCTGCTGTTCAGATGCTGTGAACACTACAGACCAGGACAAAGCATTTCATGGTATTGCTCCCTTCTTTCTAACAGTCTTTTCTAGTTTGGCCTGTTCATTATTCAGCCAGTGTCTAATGGTGTGGGCTTTTTTCCCTTTGGCAGGGTTACCTGAGTTAATTGATAAATGCTGGTGGATAAAAAGCTTTTTCCATAGTGACCCATCTCCACCAACTGTTGGCAGGAAAACACTATCAGCAAGCAGGTGAGTCCTGTTTTCACAGTGATTGGGATAATTTCCATTTTTCTGTTGGTAGAAGTGTTACTAAACAAGCTGTAATTAGCTAAAGCAATTGGGGGGTGGGGAGGGTGTGCATATGCGCACTATGCTGACTTGAATAAAAGATACTGCAAGTGTATGGCTATACAAGCTTCCCATGTTTTCATTTTAATAATTGAATTTGTGCTACTTCACATTAAACAGGTGCTAATGACTGTTCTACATTGATAATGATATTTATTTAATCCTCTACCTATAGCACTTGCACAACCATTTATGCAGCTTACACACTTTATGTTAAAGCTGATATTAATGCATTAAAAATACTTAGGCACATAAATGACTTAGAGGAAAATATAATGATAATTCTACTTACAACCTTTTTAATGTGTATTTCTGCAGTACGAACAGTTGAATATGACAGCATGCTGGCTTTACTGACTGAGATACTACATACAGACCTGTTTTTCCAAGAGGCTTGGGGTCTTCCTAACGTCTGGGTGCGGTTGCAAGAAGAGAGCAAAACATTTAAAAGAACAGAAAAGTGCATTTTCAAAGTATTTGTCAGTAGCTTAAATGATATTGCTTAATGGACATGTCCATGGCCTACCTTGTTCATTAGAGTTGCTATAATCTGAGATGCCTTTCTAATGGAAGTTACTCGGGTTAAATATCCTGATGACTGACTTGGATAGTTAGAGAAAAATGACAGTAAAAGTAAGATAATGTAGGTTTAAGAGAAACATGTATTGAATGACTTTGCAATAGGCGATACTGTTAAGTTTTACCTTTAGGTTATCAGCTCTATAGACAGTCACGCTGATGTAAACAAGTTTCAGATATATATAGACCAGAGTAGGACTGCTCTATGATGCATGTTTGCTATAAAGTATTTGTGTACCAGTTACAGGGAGTAAGTTTACAAGAACGCTTGTTAATAGCTTTGCTTTTAGAAAGCCCAGTTGCACGAAGGAATAGTAATCAGTTTGCTCTCTGAGCAGGATGTGTAAATCCCAACCTCAAATACCCAGGCACAACTTTCATTCATATCTATGCATGTTGATATTTGAGGACAGAATAGAAGAGAGAAACAAGAAAACAGTAATCCTAATGGACACTGACATCTTCCAAGCAGAAGAGCAACCTTAATCAGGGTTGATACTCCTAGCTCTGTTTCAGATTATTCTCACCTGCTTTGCTGTAGTTTAAAGAGCTACTTGTTAAGTTACTAATCCTATCATTATTCACTGCTATCTGGCAAAGTGTTCAACTCTAAATAATGACATTAATGTTATTAACCAAGCCTACCTTTGTCATGATTCATGCTCTTGAAAGATAACTGTAACATAGCTTCATTTGGTCTTCAGCACTGCATTGCAGTACATCAGATTGCAGTCATACCCAGTAGAATAAACAATGTATCAGAAGTAATAGAAAATAACAAGTATTTGGCTGGATGATATAATTTCTGTGAATTATCTGTGCAACTTCTTGATGTACTGTCACTAAACCTATCTGACCTTTGTCCATCATTGGATGTGCTAATAATAGCAAATATTAATATAAACAACATTTTTCATTATGTTAGTGGTTTATGCATAGAACTCCAAAGTGTATCTAGTGACTGCTTCGCGAAGCTTACAGTCTTGGTGAAGACCATAAATGCATGGCACATGGCAACAATAAAGAACACAACTCTGAAAATATAATTCCAGGAACCTTTAAATTGAATTAAGTATCTTTCTTTACTGCTGTTGTGTTGTTTCATCTCTGTCCTTTCTCAAAGTGTGCAGAGTAAACAATTCTATTTTTTTATACTAAGATTTTTGTATTAATAAATATTTAATCAGTATTTGGTCTGACTTATTTTTGGTCTAATAACAAACGTATTAAGTATTGCTTATGGTTGGTGGGTGACTTTTGGGGTTTTTGGTGGGTCTTTGTTTTTTTTGGGTTGGTTTGGGTTTTTTTATGTGAACTATTAGTAAAATTTAAAATTCCCCCAAAAGACATTCTTCCTTTAGCCACTTTAAAGTCTAGTGTGAAGTGAAGAAGGAATGGTAGAACATGAGCTAGGAAAAAGACCCTAACACCTTTTTCTGTGATATCATCTTGCAAAGAAAGGGGAAAAAAGGCTCAAAGTGCTCCTTGCAAGACAGTGAATGTGGCTCTTTGAAGATGCCTGAAGCCATAGAAGAAAGGAATGCTGTAGCCCTTACTGTAAGTGAGAAATAAAAGGTTCAGTGGTTCATGGTATTGGTGCACTGGAAAAGTGCAGTGTTGAGCTTCCATGTTGGTGCCTGAGCTTAAGCTGCTTCTGTCCTTACATGTTCAGAAAGTGGGATGCAGAACTTGCAGAAATAGCTGGTAAGCTCTTAAGACCCACACAACCTCTACCCTTATTTTTTTGTTTTGGGTTTTATTTTTGGGGGAAGGCTGAAAGAACAAAAGGAAGGGAGTGTTTGTTTGCTGTCATTTGTTTACTCTCTGTGAGCTACTTGTTTTTGTAATGGCATCATGGTGATGGAAAACTTCTGAGTAGTACCCTCACACCATCCCCATCATCTCTTACTGATTGGCTCAGCACTGCAGAAGCAAGAATGACAAATTAATCCATTTAAGAAACAAGTTTCCAGAATAAGAATGAACAGCAAATAAAACTAGAGTTGTTTGGAAAAGGTTTGGGTTTTATTTTTGTAATATATGAAGTGATGAAGACTCCCATAAACAATGTGCTTTAACATTCCTTTGTAACTTCTTTGGAAGGGTCATTTCTGTTTGTGGTAGCACAACATTCTGATACTTCAAAATACATGCAAATCCCTCTTTTTTATTTTCCCTGATCTTAACTAATCATGCATTATTTCTTCTTGAAAGCAGACTCATTGTCATTTCTCAATGCTTCTGCAAAGGGAAACCCAAGCAGGGGTCATTCATCCATTTCTATCAGGATTAATGTTGTTCGCAAAACATTTCTTGGACTATTGCAATCACAGCTGGCGACTGAAATTTTTGACAATGACCATGTTCAGTGTCCTGGCTGACTCCACAGTGATGGAGCATTTCTGTCAGATTTCTCTAGTCATGCACTCTGTTATATGCCATTGTAAACTGTTCTGGAAGTAGCAGATGTGAAATATACTGCATGCAATCACTGGAAGATAGATCTTTGTAAAAGAAAGAAGCTATGACTAATAGGGAAGAGAATCAGATCAGTATATGGAGAGGCAGTCAGGGGGAAAGCATATTTTTTTTGCTTTCTTCCCACTTCTTCTGTCTCTCTCAGTAACTGTGGGGAAAGAAATCACTGTTTCCCAACCTTATGCCAAAAGAGAAGATTTAGCTCCTGGTTACAATACTCAATGATACATTCAGAGACACTCTATCGACTCTTTCTCCAAAATAGTTATAAAAGTGCTTGTAGTCTCAATGACAGGACATGATCTGGACAGAGATATAATATTTTTATTAGATCAACTCAAAACAGGAAAAGAAAGTGATTGTACACTGAAAAAGTTGCTGCTCTTCTTAGCTATGTCAGCCACTCCTTTAAACTTTGCCATCTTTGGCTCCAATAAGATTAATTTTAATTTATAACTGTAATCCCACCTTACTTGTTTAGCTGAGGTAGCAGGATTGGGTGCAAGATAAAAACGTTTTCTCTGTGAGATGTATCAAGGTACTGCCTCCACCATAACAGCAGAGGACTGACAGGACTGGCTGTCAGTCACACTACTGGGATCATCTCCTGGGCAGGCTGAGGCAAGAATGTCCAGCAGAAGTGCATCATTACTGGGAATAACTTTTAAAAAAGACATTAGTCAGGTTTTGGTTTGTTGTTTGATGGGTTTTTTTGGAGGAGGTTTTTGGTTTTTTGGTTTTGGTTTTTTTTTGGTGTTGCTCTTTTTGCAACAAGTGAAAAACCATCTTATCCTGACTTTGAAGTAGTCAATGTTGGAGAGTCAGTAAAACACCCTAGTAAAATCTTCAGTGGTTGATCACACTCATCTTTAAAGATCTGCCCCACTGCTGCCAACTTGAATTTCATTGTGAGCAGCAGTGCAGGGGTTAAGTCACAAATGCATGACTCAAATAAGGACAAAAGTTTTAAAGTGCTGATTCTACCTCCTCTTCAAGGATCTTGACAGTGATATCCACAGAGGTTGTATAATTTTGTTTAATCCCCAGCTATACAGCCTACATGAAGTATTTCAGCTCAATAGGAGTGGATTTAGTGAAGGCTAAAAGCCAGGCTTTTAGACTATGTTTCCCACTCTGTAGTTTACTTGTTTCAGATTAGATGAGGACATACAAACTATTGCTAAGTAAGCCCAATGAGAAGGAGAAAAGCTAGTGCAGTAGCGAGATGGCACAAAAATCTTGGCCAGTTTGAAATCTTGGACCATAAACCATATGCTTAAACTTGATTCATTTGAAAGTGGAATTCAATTAATAGATTGCTTAATATCTTGCATCTTACTGTGTTTAGAGTTCTGCCTATTGCAATTAACTACTTGTATGAAATAGCACATATTCACATTTTTTTAAATTTTATTTTTAAACAATTTTTAATCCTCTCTTTAATTCCACTGTCATATATGTAGAGTAACATCTTCGTCTCAAAAAAAACCCACTTCAAACTTTGAAGAAAATTTTGGAATCTATAATAGGTTCTTACAATAAACCTATTTTAGATTTAATCTATCTTTCTAAGAACCTCTAAATTGCAAGTTGTACTGTCTCATGATGGTGCAGAAGTGAATAGATAATACTAGGGGTAAAATACACAATGAACTGAGTTTCTTTGAGTATTTTCCCACCATATTTTACCCATGTTAGTTTAATATTGTCATGACTCCAGCTCAGACCCAATGTACATTTAAGTTCACTTGAAATCTGGAATTAATATTGAATCACACTGGCAGAATGTTTTAGCGGCTAGACAATTTCTCCATGGCAGTAGCAGACTGAGTGAAGTCTTGAAT